CAGACCCCTGGGGCACTCTGCTTGATACCGGCTGCCAACTAGACTTTGAACAGTTGTTCACTACCCCTTGAGCCCGATGATCTAGCCAGCTTTCTATCCACCTTATAGTCTGTTCATCCAATCCATACTTTTTTAACTTGCTGGCAAGAATATTGTGGGAGACCATATCAAAAGCTTTGCTAAAGTCAAGATATATCACGTCCACCGCTTTCCCCATATCCTCAGAGCCAGTTATCTCATCATAGAAGGCAGTCAGGTTGGTCAGGCATGACTTGCCCTTGGTGAATCCATGTTGACTGTTCCTGATAACCTTCCTCTCCTCCAAGTGCTTCAAAATGGATTCATTGAGGACCTGCTTCATGATTTTTCCAATGACTGAAGTGAGGCTGACCAGTCTGTAGTTCCCCAGATTCTCCTTTTTCCTTTTTTAAAGATGGGCGCTATATTTACCTTTTTTCAGTCGTCCGGGACCTCCCCCGATCGCCACAAGTTTTCAAATATAATGGCCAATGGCTCTGCAATCACATCAGCCAACTCCCTCAGCACCCTCAGATGCATTAGATCCAGACCCATTTATTTGTGCATGTCCAGCTTTTCTAAATAGTCCTTAACCTGTTCTTTCACCACTGAGGGCTGCTCACCTTCTCCCCATACTGTGCTGCCCAGTGCAGCAGTCTGAGAGCTGACCTGGTCTGTGAAGACGAAGGCAAAAAAAGCATTGAGTACTTCAGCTTTTTCCACATCATCGGTCACTAGGTTGCCTCCCCCATTCAGTGAGGGTCCCACACTTTCCCTGACTACCACCTTGTTGCTAACATGCTGTAGAAACCCTTCTTATTACCCTTCACATCCCTTGCTAGCTGCAACTCTAATTGTGCTGTGGTCTTCCTTGTTACACCTCTGCATGCTCAAGCAGTATTTTTATACTCTTCCCTAGTCGTCTGTCCAAGTTTCCACTTCTTGTAAACTTCCTTTTGTGTTTAAGCTCGCCAAAGATTTCTCTGTTAAGCCAAGCTGGTCGCCTGCCATATTTGCTATTCTTTCTGCACATTGGGATGGTTTGTTCCTGAACCCTCAATAACTACTCCCTTACATACAGTGCAACTCATCCACCTTTTCTCCCCCACCTGTCCTTCCTGAAGTGTTTATACCCATCCATGACAGTGCTCCAGTCATGTGAGTTACCCCACCAAGTCTCTGTTATTCCAATCACAGCATAGTTAGTTGACTGCCAGGACTTCCATTTCTTTCTGTTTGTTTCCCAGGCTTCTTGCGTTCGTGTACAGGCACCTATGATAACTAGCCAATTGCCCTGCTTTCTCAGTATGAATCAGGAGGCCTCCCCTGTTGCACCCTCCTTCTTGTGTTTCTTCCCAATATCCCATTTCCCCATTTACCTCTGGGCTTAGGTCACCATCCCCCGGCGAACCTAGTTTAAAGCCCTCCTCACTAGGTTAGCAAGCCTCCCTGCGAAGATGCTCTTCCCTCTCTTCGTTAGGTGGATTCCATCTCTTCATAGGAATCCTTCTTCCTGGAACAACATCCCATGGTCGAAGAATCCAAAGCCCTCTCTCTGACACTACCTGCATAACCACGCATTTACCTCCACAATTTGATAGTCCCTACCTGGGCCTTTTCCTTCAACAGGGAAGATAAACTAATGAAG